CCAGGTGCACTGGGTCATGCCTGTAATCCCAGCATTTGGGGAGGCCTCAGGGGGCAGATTGCTTGAGTCCACAAGTTTGAGACCAGCTTGAATAACATGGCAAAAACCCATCTCTACCAAAAAATACAAAAATTGCTCAGGCATGGTGGTGCATGCCTATAGTCTCAGGTACTTGGGAAGCTGAGGTGAGATGATATCTTGAGCCCAGGAGGTCGAGGTTGCAGTGAGCTGTGATTGTGCCACTGCAAATCCAGAGTGAGACCCTGTCTCAAATATAAATAATAAAAGAATAATAAGCTAAAATTGACCCACTATAATAAAAGAATAGAGTACTTATTTAGGAAATTTAAATTACCATACTTGTTTCATGAGCTGATTATGTAAGTTATTCTCAGAAAGCCCCAGTTGGGAAGGATGTTTTAGAAAAAATATGATTTTGATTTGAAAAAACATTTCAAGTCATTATAGGTAGATGAATGTCTTCATGGCATTTGTTTTGGCTGAGCCTGTAAAATTAATTAGATTATAATAATTACTACTAATTTCGGGCCCGGCACGGCGGCTCACGCCTGTAATCCCAGCACTTTGGGAGGCCGAGGTGGGTGGACCATGAGGTTTAGAGATCGAGACCATCCTGGTCAACATGGTGAAGCCCCATCTCTACTAAAAATACAAAAATTAGCTGGGCATGGTGGCGCGCACCTGTCGTCCCAGCTACTCAGGAGGTTGAGGCAGGAGAATTGCTTGAACCCAGGACGTGGAGGTTGTGCTGAGCCAAGATCATGCCATTGCACTCCAGCCTGGGTAACAAGCGAAACTCCGTCTTAAAAAAAAAAATTATTACTACTTGCAATAATCATATAGCCAGAAGGTATATTTCTCTCTCTCCAAGTAGGTATGCACTTAAACTATCCAAAGAATTTAGCTATTTACACTTTTCTGTGAAATCTCCAAAGAAGATATTACACTCTTATTCCCACAGAAAAAAAAAGGAAAGAAGCAAATAAAATAGGTATAGTAAGAAAGTACTTCCGGCTTCCCAGAAATTCTTTATTTCCAGACTAAATTCTTGCTGAAATTTAAGCTCATGCTGGGCATGGTGGCTCACACCTAAAATCTCAGTACTTTGGAGGCTGAGGCAAGAGGACTGCTTGAGGCCAGGAGTTCAAGACCAGCCTGGGCAAAATAGCAAGACCCGTATCTACTTAAAAAAATAATAGTAATAAAAATAAAATAATTTTAGCCTGCATGGTGGCATGTGCCTATAGTCCCAGCTACTCAGGAGGTAGAGGGAGGAGGATTGCTTGAGCCTAAGAGTTTGAGCCTGCAGTGAGTTATGTTGGCACTATTGTGCTCTAGCCTGGATGACTCTGTCTCCAAAAAAGAAAGAATGAAATTTAAGCTCATATCTCTTGGGAAAGTAAGGATTTAACTTGGAGTGGGTCAATTTTAGCTTATTTAAAGAATTGGAACTAGGTATTTTTTGCTCCCTAATTCTGAATATGAAAAGAATGCAGCCAAAAAAAAAAATTATTGATCCTTGAAAAATCTACTCCAGTTTAAAAATCCTTATTAGAATATCAGTATGCCAGTAAAACATAGTTATATATAA